AGTAGTAGTAGTAGTAGTAGGGGAGGAGGAGGAAGAGCAGGAGCGGGAGAAGTAGCAGGTGCGTTGTAGTCATTGTGGAAGCAGGACTAGCTAGGACTAGGACAAGGACTAGCGGCGTCAGTAGCACTAGAAGCTACCGCACCAGGAGGAGCAGCAGCCCCGTGCAGTAGTAGAGGCCGAGCAGAAAGCCCTGCAGACTTGGCGATCAACTCTTCACAGACAGACGACGTCTAAAACACATCTTGCCAGATCTTTTGTATTGGACGAACCCACGAAACTTTCAGTTGCCTTGTGACTCACATTATTCCCTTGGTCAGGCGATGCTATTCGTGCACCAGCCGCCGCGGATGTGGCAAGACCAGCGTACCCGGGCTTGGAGATTCCGGTTTAGGGTTTGAGCTTCGGGGTTTAGCGTGCCGGTCATCAGATGTGTTGAGATGCTTGCCTTAGTCTTGCTTTGCTGGTAAGAGGTTTTTCTACGGACTGCACGGGCTGGTAAGACCTCCACGTCTAGACCGCGGTATGGACAAGCTTGTGGTGGTGATGTTGCCACAGAAGAATCTCAAGGTTTAGGGCGTTGGTGTTTTTGTTGGGCTGCTTGCGGGCTTACGGAAGCTTAAGTAGCTTACTGGTTTGGGTAGCAGGCTACGAGGGTAAAGGCGTCTAGGGAGCCTAGGGCTTCCTCGAGCAAATCGAGGGGCAAACCCCCACGGAAGCCTGAACTCGCAAGCTCATGCCAGTCTTCGTTTCGGAGTTGTGAGGGCCAGGAAGGCCTGTAGGCCTGTTTTTCTTTCCCCAACATACCCGAAGGAAGCAAGGCCCATGTCCCGAACCCTGGCCCTAAAACCAGGCTGTAAATTGTAGATTGGGCTGTGAAAGCCCCATACCGCAAGCCCTCATGCATGCCTCGCCAGGCGGGAGACAGGAGAAAGGATCAAATCTAACACCTTTATACCCGAAACCTTAAATCGCAGAGTCCAAAAAACCGAGACATCCACGCCGTTTCGAGGAAGTGCCACAGCGACGCCCAACCTTAGAGCAACCGCAGGGGGCGAACGGCCGAGTCGATCTAGTGGCCCGGCAAATGGTTGAAGAACTTTTGTGGTTCATGGGGCTCTATAGTTTGCTTGGGGATACTCATCGGATTTATTATTTGTTTTTCTCGGTCTCTGTGAGGACCCTTACAGGGGTTTTTGGGGCTTAGGGCTTTAAAAATTCTGGACGCACAAAACAAAGGTTGTTCGATGATGTAGATGTATGGAGTTCAGGGTTAAGGAATTTAGAGTGTGGGAGTTGAGGATGTGGTCTTGAGCGGTGAAGATGGCGATGCTGACGATGGCGATGGCGATGGATACCTTGATGCCGGTGCTGATGATGATGATGATGATGATGATGATGATGATGATGATGACTGATGATGACGATGCTGATGCTGCTGATGCTGCTAATGATGATGCTAATGATGATGATGATGATGATGATGATGACCATGATGATGATGATGATGATGATGATGATGATGATGATGGTGATGACGGTGCTGACACTGGTGGCGATGGCGATGGCGATGGTGATGATGATGCTGACGATAGCGATGGCGATGGTTACCTCGATGATGATCATGGCGATGGTGATGATGATGCTGACGATAGCGATGGCGATGATTACCTCGATGATGATCATGGTGGTGGTGCTGCTGCTGCTGATGGTGAAGACAGCTGTTCGATCTGCAACCTTCTACGGAGTTATCTGCAAGAAGGCTTTTCAAAATATCGGTCCTCATGCCATTCCCAGCATCCCGGACTTCGGCCAGGCAAAAGAGCTGGCAGCGCCACACAAGGCCGACGACCGAGCGGCTCTTTTGCAAGAAGCCGTGGCTGAGAGGAGGAAATCGACAGCGACAACCACCCGGATGGAGGGTCTAGGAGTTTAGTTTTGTTTGTTGTCGGTTTGCCCTCCTCGAAAGCGGGGTTTTTGGATTGGGTTTAGGGGTTTTGGCTTTGGGGTTCAGGGCTTGAGTTGTTCTGACTTTTGAGATTTATGATATTATTTAGTGTTTTGGGCTTCGGGCTTTCAGCATTTGGTGTCTAGGGCAAGCGACCAGCCCCAGTTGTGCCCTTTGCCAACTCAGGAACTTGCTTTCCTAGCCCGCTGAGAGAAGCCTAAGCCGTGAAATCTGAGACCCTCCACGCTGAAATGCCTGGCTGAACTGACCCATCCTGCCCACTCACCAACATACATCATGCCAGAATTTCCCCGAACAAAAGCACCTAAGCACAATCCTTGTGAGCCTCCTAAAATCCTTACAAGGGCACCCTGTTCTTTAAGAAGGAAGCGTAAAGCCTCCAAAGCCACGGCGCCAAGGCAGCGCTGTGGGCTCTGGTGGGGAGACGCTCCACCGGCGGCATGGAGAACGAGGTTCCCGGATTTTGGAGTTTAGGCGGTTTAGTCCAAAGGGTTCACTCTACGCCCGCTTTCGACAGCGAGATTCGGGTTTCAAGCGGTACAGCTCGAGACCTGAACACCCTAGACTCGAGGGCTGAATGCAGGCCTGACCCTGACAGCTTCCACCAGAAACTTCTGCTGCGACCAGACTCGAGAAATGCCGCAACTACGAACCCCGAAACTTTTGCCATGCAGGTTCCTCCTCCCGACCCGGTTCCGCGAGCTCGGGAAGCCTCTCAGCTCATCCAGCTGGGCCTTACATATATAGTTAGAAGTCGGAAGCAACAGGGATAGCATCCTTCAGTGTCGCTCCCACTCATCTCACACTCACGCTCACACACACACACACTCTCTCGCTTTCTATAAATCTAGGACTCTTTAACTGCATGATGCCATGCCCCCAGCCAGACATTGATGATTCAGCAGCATTGACTGCACCACATGCTAGTTTTGCAGTGTCTACTGCATATGATGTCAAGTGTGCGCACACACATTCTCGCCCTGATGGCGTCCATGTTCGCAGTTCCAGTGAAAGAGCACATCTGGCACAACTTGAGCTCGTTTTCGCTGTGCAAAGAACCCGTACTTGCCGACTGGTCTGTTGCTGACAGGGCAAACTTGTGACCCGTTCTGGCTTGCTTCCTGAGACCTCGGTGTGGTCAACGCTCGCGGTCTCCTTGCTCGTGCCCTACTTTTCTCCACATCTGCACCCTGCCAATCTCCATGCTTTACTGCAGGGACCTGGGCCGAAGCCTCGTAAATATCAGCGTGATCATCATCATGACCATCAGGGTCAAAGTCGAAATCAGCGTCGCCATGGTCCATGGACATCATCACCATCAGTGATGATGATGATGATGAAACCCTAACCCAACACCCCAAAACCCTAAGCCCTAACCCAAAACCGCAAAACCCTACAAGGCCTAAAGCCCGAAACACTTCTGGGATCCGTGCCTGCATTGTGCGAGTGTGGGAGCCGATCCCCTGAACCCCTTAAGGATCCCTGAGGGTTCGCTGTTCAGGGTTTTTTGGGTCGTGGGTTTAGGGTTGAATTTAGGGTTTTTGGGTTTAGGGTTTAGGGGTTTTAGGTTTAGGGTTTTTGGGTAGTGGGTTTAGGGTTTTGGGTTTAGTGGTTTAGAGTTTAGTGTTTTGGGTTTGGGGTTTGGGGTGATGGCAAAGAGCCTGGGTTCAAAAAGGCTTTAGGGTTTTTTGGGTTCTCTGTTGCTTCGGACTGAGGTGCCCGGTTTATTGGCAGTGTCCTTCGCGCCACATCGCCGCCTGGGAGTGCAAGGTCTTCCACCCCAACCCGCTCCCCCCCGCTAGGGTTTAGGGGTTTAGCGGTTTAGGGGTTTAGGGGTTTAGGGGAAGTGTAGGCTTTGGTGCTTGTTTTGGGGTTTAGGAGAATTCGGCTTGGAGGTCAGCAGCAGGGTCTGACTGGGCTACTGGATCGGGCTTTGGGTTAAGGCTTAGACAATAAGACATGGCCGGTCCGGACTGGTTTAGGTTGTTGTCAGAGAGTCTTCTGTAACATGTGCCAAGATCATTCGGGGCTCGTCTGAGGTTAAGCCTGAGAGTTGCTCCCGAAGATGTCGATCAAGCAAGAAACCAAAGTGCTTCAGAGCTCTAAACTTTAGAGTTCTGCGGTTGAGGCTTTACGGCTCCAGGGTCTAAGGGTAATTCCCGTTCCCTGCGCACCGTGCTCGGCCAGTAGACCCATCTCGGCAGGTCCCAAACCCCGGTCTTCGTCACAGCCACCACCAGCGATGGTACCCAGGCGTGGCCCTTGAGAGGAGCTTTAGGTCTTGGTTTCATCTATATGTCGACAAGTGCGCGGATATATATATATATATATATATAGTTGTATACATGCATGTACGTAGGTACGTAGGTACGTAG